CCCGCGAACCCGTATATATATAGGCTTAATTTTGTGGGCCACAAAATTAAGTCTATATACGGGTTTGCGGGCTAGCCCATTTATATCCCTACATTTTATACGTATAAGCAAATCTAGGCTACCAGACATTGAGATTGTTGAAGCCAGCACGGCCAAGTTACACCCGCCAGCTATGCATCACTTAACATTGGAAGAATAACGTCATTTCTTCAGAGGGGAAAAAATACATCCGCATGCACCGAGCTTAGCTGCCGGAAACGTGGAACATGGCCACGTTCCTTGTTCCGGGAACGTTTTATGTTCCCACGTTATAGAATAACTCCCCAAGTTTCCATTTTCGTTTCACGTTTCTGTTCCCTTGTGGAAACATGGCTGCTAAGGCACTGAGTCGAGGATTTGAACGTGTAAGCAACTGAGCTGTATCCTGTATATTCACAACCACACACATCAACCGATCAAATAGGACTGCTAGCTAGGAGACAAAACATAGTCAATTGAGTGTGGTTAAGTCGGTTTAGGTTCTTTATAGTGCAAAGCATACATCGATCTATCCGCGTTCGAGTGACCCCAACTAAATACTTCCTTGTTTAATTTCAACGGCAGGTGATGACGTACATCTAGCTGGAATAGTGACTTCATTAATCTTGTTGGTCAAACAATCTCTCCATCTTAAGGTGTTCGTTTGAGTGACATGCACTCACAATACAAGTAAAAAAAATATGTCGTTTTCTAGTCAAACTAACCCAGTAATTAAATCGGTGGCACTCAAAGATATATTGTATAGTAATTAATTAGATAACTGTCTTATATGCTTCATCAGTAACCGGCCAAAGCAATTGCATTGCTTGCTTTGCACAATGTCTTATATGCTTCATCAGTAACTGTCTGTCAGTTGCAGAGCGGGATATCACCGTGGCTCAAAGTCAAATGACCAACTTAGCAAGGAAAGAAAGCTTTGCACACAACAGAACTGAACATGGGCATGCAATGCAATGCAATTTGACAGACTAAACTCTGCAAAGTGCTTCTTGGGTGGGCCCATACGTACATTGTACTACAAGTATATACCATCACATGATGAATCTATAGGATTTGCTGGTTCTTGCTTGTGCTAGTAAATCAAATGGTCTACAGTGGCCAAAACTCCGATCCCTTTGGAAATTAATTAACAGGGCCGGGGCATTGTAGTTGTAGCCGGCCGGCACCAAGTAAAAGCTTTTTTATTTACAGATACATCTAGCTATGTTAATAAATATGGTATTGCTAGAATGAATAATCATGTTTAGCATTAGCAACACAAGTATCTCCAACCAGGACTAAAGGTCCCCTGCAGCAAAAGCCTGCCGCAGTAGCCGTTGGGCAGGGACCTTTAGTCCCGGTTGGAGCTACAAACCGAGACTAAAGGTCTCTCTAGTCCCAGGCACGAAAAATACCGGGACTAAAGCCAAATTTCGAGGTGGGATCAAAGGTCGTTTCTCTACTAGTGTCTATCAAGAAGCTGATACGAATATGACAGATAGATGGTACATAGAAACAACTAGTACATAGACCGGTGCTGTTGATCTGATCACTGATCACTAGTACCCATCAGGTGACGAGATGATGCATGAACATGATGTGTATAATCAGTAGAAATAGATCGGCGCCCACTTCTAACCCCCACGAACTGATCATCAACATCATCACCATCCTACTACCAGGACTCTCAACTAGAACTAGAGACAAGATTCAAGAAACCTAGAGAACCCTAGAGGAGGGAGAGAGGGCGAGGACGAAGGGGAGAGCGAGGGAATCACCGGCAAGAAGGACAAGGAAGGGGGAGGACGTAGGGTCGCTGTCGCCTCGCGCCGCCCTGCGGTCGCCCTGTGCTGCCCCGTGGTCGCCTCGCGCAGCCCCGCCGTCACCTCTGCTGCGTCGTCACGTGCTCACGTCGTGGAGACAGGGAGCCAGCACCGATCCGGATGGTAGGAGGTGCGGTTCCGTTCCGGGCCGTGGAGACTGGAAAAAGAAAAGCCAATTTTGGTTTCGGGCTAGTTTTCGTTCCAGACCAGCCCAAAACGAACACACATTCTAGTTCCCTTCCGGATTGAAAATGGGCCACAATAATCCACCTGGAACGGGCCAATCCGATAGAAACGAACGAGGCCTAATTAAATTGGTGGCACTCGCATACATGCGCCGGCCGGTTGAAGCATACAGCGTGTACGATAGAAGTATAGGACTCGATCGGTGCCACCACCACCGGTTGAACCCGGTTGGGCGTCGGCACGGCCCGCAGTAGCATGTTACTCTATGTAACAATAATACCTACAGGCACGCTTCCTACCTGCCTCTCGTATGTGCATACACAAAGTGAGAGAGTAGAAGCTGGGCCGGTAGAGCAAGGGCACGTTCGAATTCTCGGATTTAGAGTTTAGTCGAGACTAAAGATGAGGACTAAAATTTTAGACCACTTTAGTTCACTTGTGTGGTCTAAAATCTTATCAGATATCAAAGCTTTAGGCATCACTTTAGACCTCCCTGGTAAAGTGATCTAAAATTTTGTTCTAAACTTTAGACATCACTTTAGATTAAATCTAGGAGATCATGGATCCAAACAGGGACTAAACATAGCTCAGATCACCACTTCTTATTGGGCCTACCGCGTGTGGGTGGGGACAACCGAACGATCGATCAACGCGTTAATTGGGCTAACTGATGTACATGATCCGGCCCAACGCATGCATGATACAGGATCGGAGGATCCACGTTGCCAAATAACAGAAGGAGCATCATGCATCTTCTCGGAGATCCAATTTGGCAGCAACAACGAGAGGCCAGCAACTCGACAATACCCAACGTGCCTTTTTGTCAAACCAAATTTTTTGAAAATGGTAAAGTTTTGGTCTCACATATAAGTCTAACAAGTTTTTAGCTCACATGCTAAACAAGAATAAAAGAGAAATGGCAGAAAAATTGTAAGCAAATTCTATTATTGCTTCTCCATCCATTCTTGGCGGAATATGTCCAGGGCGACAACCTCCAATATATGCTCTACTCACCAAGCGGAGAATCTCCTTTGTATCCTCGTGCTACAACAGCACCCAATACGTTCCCCTGAATGTATTCGAGCTACGAGTGACACGGACGGCCTAGATTCATCGGGAGGAAGCACGGACGATCGGTGATAAGAGCGTATTAAGCAGTCAATTGTCTCGGTAATTTGACAGTATCACACTGCAGTTGTCAGTGGATGAAAACATTACAGTGCATACTCTCAAACAAGTCTAATTTATTATAACTGACAATGTCTCGATGATCATAGATTGTAATCAATGGAACTAATGCATACATATTTCTTGATGAACTTGAAAAACAATACATAGATTCAAACTAATTAAACTAAACTAAATCTAATCTAGATCCTCGCTATCCGAGCTAGGATGGTCCGTTCTTCACGCTTTGTTGGAGCCTCATCGGTGGCCTCCTCCTCACCCTCGTCGTCGTCGCCCTCCTCCTCCTCCTCGGCACCATCCCCAAAAACTAGGCATCATCGAAGTCCCATGGACTCTGATCAGGCAAGCCCTCGTTGGCAGTACTCCCCCAGCGCTGTATTCTTCCTTGCACTGGGTGAGCCTATCCGGCTTCTCTGGGTGGAATTAATGGTGATGAAAGGGATTCGAAGTTCGGACACTGAACAGTCGCAAAGACTTTTGACCACCTGTCCACCATGGCCCTTTTGGGCCGACAGTGATAACTAGCATCGTTGCCAGCTCACCGTATAAATCGGCAGCGACACAGACCTGAAGATCACTGCTAGATCGTACTTTGAGTTGACGATGAATATGCTTTTCACCGTCAGTTCAATTGGTCCCTGCGCCCCACTGTCCTTCAAACCGTCGGTGATAAGAGTGCTTCGATATAACCCTTTCTGTAGTAGTGTTTTATCTTATTTAGAGTATTGCATAACTGTCTAGTAATCTTTTTGTCCTCAGGTTTCGACGACAAGCTGGGTCGATCATGTCACCGCTGGCAACGTCACCACTCAGCACACTGCATTTGGCCTCACGTGAATGGGTTATGCCGTTGCCGGCGATAATGTTGCCAGCCACGACTACTCAGGCACACCACGCTGCCAGCCACACAACCACTCAGGCATTCCATTTCTGGGTTCATCACTCGAGTCGGTTATGGCACCACCGACAATGTCGCAGAGGGACCACTTGGGCACGCTGCCACCAGGCTTACCCAAGTCAGTCATGCTAGCACCGGCAATGTCATCGTCCATGACACTTGGGCATGTCGTTGTTGCTAGGCTCCACCTGAGTTGATCACGCCACCACCCTCACTGAGTGCACTCATCATGTGCTCAGGGATCAAAGAAGAAAATAGTTAACCCTTTGATCGATCATCCGAAACACCCGGAGGCTACCTTTAGGAGAATGTTAGCTTTTGTAACGTCACAACATGCGATCCAGAGGTAGCACAAAACATGTCATGTAAGCATGAATAACAGTATCGTCACAATCGAGTTTGGACCCTATAGTAATTATCCTAGACTATCACTTTTTCTTTTGGAATCATGTTAATTGAAATCAATTTATTGCATTATTTCCGTAGTAGTGTAATGATGATAATGTATTACCACTGTTTTTGCATATGACCTTATGATAGAGGCCAATGAAATTTGGACTCTGGATAAATATTTGTGATGAGGAATGCTAAGAATGAGTGATTAGGATGAGGGTCATATTTGATGCTGCCATACTATAGGAGTACTCCTATAGCCTATAGCCAACCAATAAATTCACCTAGAGGCATGATGCATTAGTTAGCAGAGAATAAATGCAAACCTATATCAGATAACTGTGTACATGATGTTTTGGTCTGAATATGGTAGAAATTGACTGACCATGATTAATTTGCTTGTGGATGCCATCTATATAAACAAGGACCCGCACCATGAAAGAGCATCAAGAAACCATTAATCTCTCGGTAGAGAAGCATAGCTAGCTAGCTTCATGGCGCTACTCAAGATGAGCTCCAAGAGTACTCTGGTTGTTTTCACCGTCACATGGCTGCTGATGGCACTCCTTGCTACGGCTGTGTCGTCAGCTGGCAACCAGGAAGCGGAGAACCGAGAGGTCTGCGCCAAAGTGAAAGGCACCTGTACACAAAAGGTGTGCGGCGGAATGTGCGCTAACATAGGCTCCAATGGCGTTGGGTCATGCAAGGGGTCCTACTGCTGCTGCCAACCAAAATCCCCCGCACACATCGGTGTCCACTAGCTAGAACTAGTTTGCTTTTGATCCATAGTGTGATTGTTGAATTGACATTTTTCATTAATAAACAAAATGTATGGTGTGTGATTGGTCTATAAATGTGTGGTACCAGGTATGTTACACATCCATGTCAAGATGCCACATATCTGTTCGCAGTACAACTTTCAATAGACTTTGGTCAAAATACAACACACATTCTCAACTTTTGATACGCTTGAATGTTCTTGGTACCCTCTCATTGCCCCCTCGCCCCCCAAGATGATGTACTAGTTAGATATGCAGACTTCACTGCACTAGTGTTTTTCCTGTGTGTGTAGTATATTATCCTCACCATGCGCCACAGTGAAGGCGGGGCACAAAGGCCCACCCGCAGCTACTCAGTCCCAACCAGAGCTCAGATGGAAAATGCGGAAAATCGAAAATAGACAGATTGACGACATCAGAGTCAGTTGACCTCAATGATGGGCTTGATTGCGTGTGTACGGAGTGAAATCGATGTGGAACAAAAGGAACATATTCTGTAGTCTCACCGCAGAGGACTAGAGGGCACAAGTCCTGCCTGCTAGCCCGGCCCGGTGCGGCGGAGACACTCATCGTCAAAGTCTGAGGGTTTGTTTGGTTCAGGTTCAGCCATGAGCTGTGAAAAAGCTGCTCTTAGCTGTGAAAAATTATTGTGAGCTATGTGGTGCTAAAAAAGTTGTAAGCCTACCACTCTCTCTATCTCCATTGAAACAACAGTGTAATATCTCTATTTTCACCCATTTTGAAAAGCCGAAAGACAAAATAGGATCTATGGTACTATGAAAATTATGCTATACAAAAGTAGCTGCATCTAGAAAAGCGGTTTCTAGTTTCACCTGTTTGGTTGGCTTTGTACTTCTTAGCAGCAGAAGCACTTTCTAGGACCAAACCAAACACAGTTTGAGTCATCCTCCTCATCGCACTACAGTGGCCCACTGGCGTCATTGTTGCTGCTGTCAACTTTTCTCTCCTTCTTGGCAACACGATGCGTACTAGTGTTGTGGGGATCCCCAAAGTTTTTGCCTTCGAAAAAACATGACGCATCCTGCCATTGTCCTCCTCCTCATCAGGGGCGGAGCCAGGAATTGGAGATAGAGGGGGCAGCATAAAAAGCAAGTAAGAGGTAAGGAAGCTTCCATGGCCGGGTTTGTCGATCTTAATAGTCATAGTGACATATAAAGAAAGCTTACATCTCGTCACATATTAGGAGTTTCCACATTGAGATTTTCAGCTTTAATAGAATAAGTACTTGAACCAACAGGCATAAAGAAACTATGAATTATCTTTTTCCTCTTCATATCACCTAACCGAAAAGAGGACTTTTTGAGATACAAATCAAGTGATAAGATTAAATAAATAAACTATAAACAAGTGCTGTTTAAGAAGAGGAAGGGTGGAGGCGACAAAGGCAGCATGTCATGTGATTGATCTCGCATGATTCTTGGAGATTGATTGATCGAGGAGACGAGGCCATGGAGCACGAAGAGGGCAGGACAATAGTGCGTGTAGAGGCACCGGAGGGTCCACCAAGTTGGCAACAAAAAAAAAACTACTGAGGCAGGGTGATCGGGTAATGCACAAACACTAAACTTTCGTTCTTTTTAGTAGATTTATAAAAGATGAACACATTATTTCTATAATAGTGTGCTAAGTTGGCAATTGACCTTCACTAGTAACATGTAATCACTATAACAACAAAACCACAAAACACTGCCAGTCATAAGTACTCCATCACTGTCAGTTGTGCCAACTAGCAGAGGACAAACAGCAATGGTAGCATCGGCTATCTTTGTTGGTTGAGCTGTCAGCTACAAACCAGCACTAATACCTATTTCACAAAATAAACAAAATATAGAACTAGCCCACCCTGCACACCGCGCCCACTACACGTGCACCGCCATGTCGCCACCTGCCGCACTTTTCGTTGATGGCTACTAGGTCGTGGACTGCCGTGCTCGCTGTCATTGGGAGCTATGCCACATCCCGCCTTGTTTCTGTTGCACCCACAGCCACCTCCATTGGGCTGCCCATGCGCCGGATTGAACCTACAGAGCAGTGTGCCACCCGTAGCCACACCATGCACCAACCATCGCCACCGCCATGCATGCAGTTCCAAGTTCCAACTGCCACCTGCCCCGCTCTGGCTTGTAGCAACCATGCTGTGTGCCCACAACATTTGTCATCGTCGAAGGACGGAGGCTAGAAGGGGGTTAGTGAGGCGGACAAGGAAGATAGGAAGCTACACCACAAAGTCGAGAGGGAGGTACAGATCAGTTGAGGGGGAGGGGGAAAGAGAGAGGTACGGGGAAAATGGGTCGGCAAAGGCTTGGATCAAATTATGGGTCCATTGTCCCGTTCACTACCGGCTAGCAAGTGTTAAAATCCAACAGTGATGCCATCAGTGCTGGTTTTTAACTTCAACTGATAGTGATAATGAGCTATCACTGTTGGGTGATTTATAAAATTGATAGTGATGCTCATTCCCCTTATAAACAGATAATGATAACTTATCACTGTCAAATTTGATGAAAGTGATAATACTGAGTGTTATGCATTTCTGATTAGTGAATGATAATGTATTATTACCGATGTTTTGCATATGAAATTTGGACTCTGGATAAATATTTGTGATTAGGAATGCTAAGACTGATTAATTAGGATCAGCATCACATTTAGGGTCCATTTGGTGGGGCTCTGGCTCTTACTTCTCACATGGAGCAGCTTCTCTGGTGGAGCTGAAGCCATTTTGAAAAACGTTTGGCAAAATTAGCTCTAGTGGTAGTTTTGTAATAATTTATATTAGGCTTGTGAGGAGGAGTCAAGAGAAGCCAAGTTTATGCGGCTTCGGCTCCTCTAGACATAAACGGCTCTGGCTCCTCTGGGGTCATTGCAAGAAGCCATTTTTAATGGCCAATTAGCAGAGCTCCTTGTAAGGAGCCGCGAGAAACGGGAGTGGAGCCATGCAAAATGGGGCCTTAATTCTGCCATAGTGATATAGGACTAGTATTAGCAACCAATAAACGCATATGAAATTTGGACTCTAGATCAATATTTGTGATCAGGAATGCTAAGATTGATTGATTAGGATGATGATCATATTTGATGCGCCATACTGATATAGGAGTAGTATTAGCAACCAATAAATGCACCTAGAGATATGATACATTAGCTAGCAGTGAATAAATGCAAACTATGAGATAAGTGTGTACCATAACGTTTTGGCTTCAATATGGTAGGAATTGAATGGCTATGATTAATTTGCTTGTGGTTCCCATCTATATAAGCAAGGACCCCGGACCATGAAAAGAGCATCGACCAAGAAACCATTAATCTCTCAGTGCAGAAGAGCTTAGCTAGATTCATGGCGCTACTCAAGACAAGCTCCAAGAGTACTGTGGTTTTCGCCGTCACATGGCTCCTGATTGCACTCCTTGCCACGGCTGAAAATGGCGCTACTCAAGTTAAGCTCGGAGGGGCCTGCGAAAAAGTAGCGAGAGGTCCCTGTACAGAACAGGTGTGTGGCGGAATGTGCGCCGTCATAGGCTCCAACGGTATCGGGTCATGCCAGGGCTCCTACTGCTGCTGCCACCCAAAATCCTCTAGGCACATCGGTGTCCCCTAGCTAGGAACTAGCTTTCCATTATGATTCGCCGTATGATTGTCAGAATGTTTTTCATTAATAAAGAAAATGTATGGTGCGTGATTGTTACATGCATGTCAAGATGCCAGATAACCATTTGCAATACATCTTACATTAGACTTTGATAAAAAATACAACACATTCTCAATTTTTGATAGGCTTGAGGCTCGTACACCTCTCGTTGCGTTTCCTCCTCCATGGCAATATATTTATGGGATGTTTGGTTCGTGGAGTCACCTCATGCTTCGTGAGGTGATGCATCATGAGTATATCCCTTGAATTTTGGTTGAATCAATTCATTCCTCATGCATATACTAATTATTAGCTTGTGAGAAATAGGGTGGTGATGGATCAACTCATTTCATTTCACAAACCAAATATAAAAAGTAAGAAGTGAGAAGAAGATGGACCACCTCATTCCTAAAACCAAACAAACCCTAAGCCAACAAGTGGTGAAGTTTCCTTCCCTACCATTTAAGTTGCGCACAAAAATATACAACTTTTCCATTAAATACAATTTGCACTATTTCTTATCCAAGATCTGGAGCACCCCCTAATTTTCTATTTCCACCCATTTTGAAAGGTCGAAATAAGCCAAAAACAAGGTCCAAGATTCTCTGAAAATTGTACTACATAAAAGTAGCTACTTCTAAAAAATAGCTTTTGGTTTCACCCGTTTGGATGGCTTTCTACTCTTTAGCAGAGGAAGCACTTTCCAGGAACCTAACCAAACGCGGCCCAAGTCATCCTCCTCATCGCATTGTTTTGTCCCATTGGCCTCATTGCTGCTACTGTCGACTTTGCTCTCATTCTCAGCAACACGGCACACACTACCCATATCCTCCTCATTGACCTGCCGCTGCCGCTGCCGTCGTCTCGAGGGATGATCTGTGTGAGGCAGATGAACAAGCTAAGTCATGTGATTGATCTCGTGTGATTCTTGGAGATTGATAGATCGTGGGGGTGAGGCCTTGGAGCACGAAGAGGGTGGGATGACAGCACGTGTAGAGGCACCGGAAAGTCCACTAGTTGGCGACAAAAAAACGCAGAGGTAGGGCGATCTGGTAATGCAGAAATGCTAAACTTTCGTTCTTTTGAGGAGTAGGTTTATAAGAGATGAACACATTATTTGTATAGTTGCATGCCAAGTTGGCAATTGATCTTCACTAGTAGCATGTAATCACTATAACAAAAAACCACACAGAACACTGCCAGTCACGGGTACTCCATCACTGTCAGTTATGCCAACTAGCAGAGGACAAGCAGCAATGGCAGCATCGTCTATCTTTGTCAGTTGAGCTATCAGAGCTAGAAACCAGCAGTATTACCTATTTCACAAAATAAAAAAAAAACACATAACTAGCCCATCATGCACACCATGCCTACCGCGACAGAGAAGAGAGCTAGGAAGCTGAGCCGCGAAGGGGAGAGGGAGGAGCAGATCAGTTGATGGGGAGAGAGAGAGAGAGAGAGAGAGAGAGAGAGAGATGGGTCGGACAAAGGCTTCGATCAAATTTTGGGTCCATTGTCCTAATCAATGCCGGCTAGGAAATGTTAAATCCAACAGTGATGCTATCACTACCGGTTTTTAACTCCAACTGATAGTGATAATACGCTATCACTATTGCTTGGTGGATTTATAAAATCTATAGTGAGATTCATTCCCCTTATAAACAGACAGCAATAACTTATCACTGTTAATTTTGATGAAACCGAGGGTAATAATACCAAGAGTGTCATGCATTTCTCAGTAGTGAATGATAA